ATGTTTGTGAGTGTACTGCATCGTCAAATGTCATCATCGATAATGTCAGGCCTGAACTGACTTGTGTTTTTGCACCAGCTGACTTTGCACCGTTTGCCATTCTCACCGTCGATTTCGACTCGGTACAACATGCGAACAACAACAACAACCACAACAACAAAAATCACAACGCAATTTACAGCCTCGAAAAGGAGCTGACATTTCAAACGGGGGCCCGTTTCCGTGATTAAGCGTACGCTTAATTGACGAGAAGACTACGATTCAATTGACAAACGCGGCCCTGCCGCGGCGATACGGTCATTTGCTTAATGGTGCGGCAAAATTCCCAAGGTGCACAGCGGCACGCGAGCACAGGTGAGAAACCGCCCGCCGATCAGCCGCGATGCAGGTGAGCCGATGTACACGACCCAAAGGGAAGTCATCAAACAGGTCACCCCCCCCTCCTCTTCTCACCGCCCCCCACCCCACCCCCCCCCCCCCCAAGTTGTTGTAACCTCGCTCAATCCAAGAAACGTGTCGGCTCTCATCTGTGCCAACCACCGATAGTGCTGCTGCTGATTGTTGCTGGCCGCTTAGCGTTTTGGGGGCTTTGGGGGAGGGGGTCCCGGGGAAGGGGGGGAGAGAGGAGTCCCGGGGAAAGGGGGGGGGAGAGGGGGCCCGGGGAAGGGGGGGGTAGAGGGTTCTGGGGAAGGGGGGGGGGGTCCCGAGAGGGCCGCCAAATATTCACTTGAAAGCTGCCGTCGGTACTGTAAGGTGATGGAATCCTTGTGTGAAGTGCACGGCTTACCGCGCATACATTAAGCCTCATTATTAGTGTGGAGAGGAAGGGGGGGGGGGGGCAGTGATGAGTGATGTTTCCTGAGTGCTGCGAACACCCGGAGGCAATGGACAACAACAACAAAATCCCACGCATTCACATTCAAACTACAAGGATATTTAACGTACAACAAAACAAACCATTAGCATCCTTAACCATCACGGATGCCTATCTTTGACGCGCAAGACAATCAAACCCCTCCTTAATAAGGCGGGTATCTACTCCGGATTAGGTTCCAGTAATTAATGTCTCGTAGCGGTTAATTGCCCAGTCCACCGAGGTTAATTGTGTGAATTTCAGAGCATTGTGAGTCATGGCTTTAGGTAACAACGGATATTATGCTTTTATATTGCTTGTAGCTGTAACGTTCTTACCCGCCCCTACTGAACATCTTTGAAAAGGTGCTTCATAGCTCATCGGATTCTGCAAGTATGATTAAATAATAACTCTGATTCTGATTCCAGGCATATTTTTTTGTTTCATAGACTGTGTGCCGTGCAGAGCCCTGGGTGATTCGCAACGATCCGAGTGATTATGAGTTCTGTGGCCACCCTCATGCGCCAGTGGTTCGTCTTCTTCTTAACCTGGGGTGCACGCCGCACCCCCTGGGGGTGTGAGATACCCTTTCTGGGGGTGCGAGACACGGACAGATTTTTTTTCTAGAAGGTAAATAATCGAAAAGGCAAATTCAGCACGGGCACGTAAGTACAACTACGACTTTGTTTCATCAAACCCCTATGTATTTATTAACATTATGAAAATAAAATTGACGATTGAGACCCAAAGGGTGCAGGCTGCAGTAAACGTTAACAACCGCTGGATTAGATAAAACACCCATTGCCATTGTAACCTCTTGCCTCGCCCATCTCATTTGTAGGATTTCCTTCAATTCAATGAGACCCAGGTGCTGGTTTAATTCCACGTCAACTGCTGAGCAGCGATGGCTGAGTGACTCAGGAGTCGGAGGACTGAGCTGGGCCCCGATGAGATCGCGGATTGCGGTGAAGGTTTCAACGACCTCAAGTGGTTTGGAAACGTGCGTTTAGATTATTTGGCCGCTGTTAAACTTTTCCACGTAATGATGACAAGCCGCTTCGTCGTGATGGCCAGGTGGCTTCTGAAAAATAAGCTAGCATCTTAGTGGGCTTTGCCTAGTAAAATAAAAGAATGTAGTTTATTTGTACATATTTTTAAAGTGATTTATTTGCCATTTCTATACTTTGCACTCCTATTGTATGGTGGTATTGTTTGTTATTGTAACATTCTATGTACTTATTTTGGACTTCTTTCGCACCATACGTAACCAACCTCGCTGACCCGCCTCAACTGGACATCTATGAAAGAGCTTTGTAGCTCATCGGATTCTTTCGGTATAATGCATACAGGCATTCCTCCATTTACGAACATTTGACTTACGAACTTTCAGAGATACGAACAAACCTGTCCGTATGTCCAGTTGCCTGTTCGGACCGAGAGTCGTTAGTTCAACCGCCGTGCAATAGCTGGCGGTGGTGGCATCTACATCTGCAGAACGTGAAGAACCAGTGGCATCTACATCTTGCAGGAGATTATACAACTTTTAAAGCCATTTCCCGTGTTTAGTGTACATGCCGTACAAAAGGTTTGAAATATGTGGGGCCTAACTCGTTCGTAAGTAAAGGAGTCCCTGTATTCTGATTCTGAACTGGGTTCTCAAGTGCAGACAGTATTGACTTCGCAAAAAAAAATCACGTTAAATTAGATATTTATATAAATTTCCCAAAATCCAAGCTATGAGAATTCAACATTTTGGTTCGACTGCCATGCGATTAACATCTCCTATAAGCAGGGTGGGTAACAAAGTACAACGTCTCGTTAGGAAAAGAAGTCACTTGTAGGGAATTCAGAAGTAGGTCTGCGATATCGCCTTCCACGGGCCATTCTCTTATCACCGGCTGTTGTTTATTGCTCTGTGAAATTTCAGAATGGATGCTCCGTCTCATCACGCGAAGCTAAAAACCCGATCGTAATATAATGTGGGAAAAGTCAATGTAAACAAAACGTAATCTGGGGAAATGCCAACGAAAAATGCAGAACAAATCATTACAGAATAACGTCGCAGGCTAAAAAACCACGAGTTTCAGACGAGATGCAAATAATGCGGAAAAATTTCATTTTGAGCGTATTGAAAAAAAAGCAACGCAACATGGCCACAATGGAACACAATGCACTTCTTCAGGGTATGCTCACGTCGTTTTTCTTGCTGCATACCCACAAACGGCCGTGTGCTTTTTTGCAGATGTTTTGTGTGTTTTGTTTGAGGTTGAAAGCATCACCTTGCACATACGCATTCAATAACACTCGGCTAAACGTCCACATTTACGTCTCGTATCATTATTGTTTTGGTCAAACGGACGATGGACGTACGTCATACGCCGACTGTCCTATTATTGAGGTAAGGCAGGCTTAATTTCGACCTGTCCTTTCTTGCTTTCTGTCCACAATGTGCTGCCCTATCCCCGGCTCTCCCCACGGCTCATCTCCCAATACCTATTGTGTCATTCTCCCCCCCCCGCCCCGCACCTCCGATTAGCACGGTGCAAAAGAAGTAAGTGTGTAATGTTGAGCATCTACATCAGGGGTGGGGAACGTTCGGCCCGCGGGCCGTATAAGGCCCGCGAAATCATTTGATCTCTGGCCCTGCCAAGGCAACCGCAGGCGGGACTCGAAATTCAACAAATCTAGGAGCAAACCTGGAAAAGCAGTTGCGAGTAGCAACATCGTCAATACCAGCTAACATCATCACACTCCTCGCCAAAGAGAAGCAGTTCCAGCCATCGCATTGGGGGTGAGTTAATTAAATGTTTGACCAAATATAACAGGCTAATTTTTAAGTTGATGATTTTGTATGGCCCGCGAATGATGTTCTAAATATCCCAATGGCATTTGGCAGAAAAAAAATGTTCCCCACGCCTGCTCTACATCATGGGACCTCCTTTGCCAGTAGCAAAATATGATAATAGGTTTTCCCCGTTTTATGGCAACAAACCAGGTGTTAAGATGTTAAAACACCAAACTGAAACCTTTCACAAGGAATCGTGTCTGCATTAACCACAATGCTTGTGGTCAGAATGCAAACAAAAAACAGACTGATAATATGATGAAGCATTGTCCTTGAAACTGATTGGTCCACACCAGAGACGGCTTTCTCTTGAGCCTCGTCTCAAAACGGTGTTAGATTATCAGAGTATGTTTTTTTGTTTGCATTCTGACAACAAGTATTGTGGTTATTGTAGACATGATTCTTCGTAAAAGGATTCAGTTTGGTGTTTTAACATCTTATCACAGCTGTTTTGTTGCCAGAAAAAAGGGGAAAAACCCATTATCAATGTTGAGCTTCTTGTGCACCGTAACGGAGTGAACCATTGCTAATCGGAGGTGTGGGGGGAGAACAACAAACTAAACACAAAAAGCAGTTCAAAAGAAATTAGTTTTCAATCTAGATTTTAAAGTGCATAGCTCCAGTGGCTTCCTAATGTCGGAAGGAAGAGCGTTCCAGACGGCCGCAGAAGCGCATCTGAAAGCGCCACGCGATGCGGTGACCGCCGCCCTTGTTCGATGGTGAGCAGCCAAAAGCCGCCGCTGCTGCTGCTGCTGCGAGGATGAGCGGAGTTTGCGTGACGGTGGTTTTTGCTCCTTGACGAGATCAGCGAGGTATTGTGGTTCATTTGTGGCAAAGCACTTTGTGTCTAAAGTGTGAATAGTTTAACATACGCACGTTGCCAGCATATCACGCATACCCCCCGCCACCGCCCCATTTGCCCATCTTTCTCCATGTAAATATATCCCTTGCACATCTTTCAGAGACTGTTGGGGAAAGTGCTCTGAGCGAGCGCCTGTGAACAGCGCAGCACACAAGGGGATTGGGCGTGGCCAGGATCACGCCCGGCCGCATTTATCTCCCGTGCGGCGATGTTTACACACCGCAACAGGTCTTTACTTGAGTCTGAGTCTACCTAGGGGAGGCCCAGGACCGCTTCAGGCTATCGTCACCGGTGCTGGCCGTGAGCAAGAATGGAACTCGAGTGGCCGCTCCACGGAGGCGTTACACACAACATATAAAGATCCCCCCCCTCTCTTTACATATAGCCTTAGCAGACCGTATGGGGCGAGTGCTGTTAGTGGCTCTCGCGCGCGCGCTGACCTGCTGAACTCCCTCCCGAGAGTGAGCACCTGCAGGCGACAGTCCATGAGCTCCCGCGTGGCCTCGCGCAACTTGCGCTCGTTCAGGTCACGCTCCTTCCTCTCCAGCGCAACCTTCTGGCTCAGCCGCTGCTGGAGGTGTGGGCAAGGGAGCGGCAGGCGAATGTGGAGTGGTCAGCGACGAGGGGCCAGGGAAGGGAGGGGGGTGGGGTTTTGCCTTCATGGGCAAAGACATCGTGAAGAAAACAATAGCCATGCAGAGGACAAACGAGGCAGCTCTTCAGGAACTACCGATGAGTATTTTGTTTTTTTCCTTCATAGACGCACAAAGGCGGAGTGCTTTTGTGACGTGCCTGTGTGTGTGCGTGTGTCGTGTGAAACTTAATACAGAGTGAGTTGTCGGGACAGAGTTGCATAGCCCGGCCATGTGTGCACAACTAACGGGCATCTGTGACTACTGGACATCTGTGAAACGACTGGATATCTATTTTTAAAAAAGAGCTTTACAGCTCATCGGATTTCTCCAGTATACATCTTCTGATTCTCTATGTATGTTGAACTTCTTTCGCACCGTACATAGCCAACCGTGCTAATCGGAGGCGCGCTGAGAGTTTATTTGAAACGGATGCATATTATAAGTGATCGTATGTTAAACACTCTCGTAATACGTCTATATTTATAACACGATAGATGCTGCCGTGCAGAAACAGTTATAGCACGCTGGACTTGCAATCTGTAGGTCGCCAGGTTCGATCTCCGGGCGCGGCAGTTGAAACAACGGTGCATGTTTCTAAAATCCGCAGCCTCTGTCCATCCAGCAGTACAAGTAGGTAATACCATAGTTCAGTGTTTCATAACTTTGACTGCAGCCTGCTCCCCTTTTTTTCTCAATCGTTAAAAAATAATTTAAAATGTGAATAAATACATGGGGGGTTGATGAAACAATGTTGTTGTGCTCACGTGCCCGTGCTTAATTTGTGTTTTTCGATTCTTTACCTTTAAAAACAAAATCTGGCCATGTCTCGCGGGCCCAGAAAGGCAATCTCGCACCCCCCAAGGGCATCCGTGGACCCCAGAGATTAAGAAAAACCACTGCCAGAGTCAGCCGATGGGCAAGTGACGACATACGATGGGGTAAAGTGTGGGCACTCCCACGCCTTCAAAGACACGAGCGGCGTGAAAGAGTGACGTCAACAAATTCTCTCCAGGTGCTTGGCAGTGCTCCCTGTCGTGGAGGCCCTCCCTTCCCCCAGCAGTGGCGCGTGAGCGAGCAATTGCGGGGCTGAGCCTTCATCTTTTTTCCGCGATGTGTTGCACGTTTCAGAAGTGGTTATGTTTTGATATGAGGCTATTAAACATTTTTAAAAATATATATATATAACCTTCCTGAAATTTACATTTAAACATAGCAACACCCTGTCTTCATTTCACGTCTGACAATAAGTACATGGCATTAATACAAACCTGACGTAACGCAGACTCGTTTTTTTCTAGCGTCTCATTGCCAACGCATATGGACTGCCCATTAGACGTAAAATAACGCATGAATGTAGTGACAATTTATGCCCTGCGCTCTGCAAGACCACACGATGAAACGTTATTTTGTCACGCGAGCAACACGGACATTAGTTTGCTTAAATAATCTTCACTGCGATGGTAATAATTTTAAAGTACATTACAAACACTTGCGCCTAATCCACATTCAACGCCAAAATAAGCCAGAGCAGGTTAATTGACCGATTAGCAACGTTCCATCAATTTCTAATTCACTCGATTGGTAACACTTAATATGGGTATCCACGAAACCTTGGCCAACCTCTTTTGCAAATTAAATAATGACTTTAACTAATCACTAGAATTACAATCGTTAATGATGCTTCATGACTTACATTAGATGCTGCGTGTCAAAAAGTGCGCCACGGAAAATTTTAAATTCCATCGCCCATCCTCCCCAATGCTGTTTGAGGCTCACGCATGTAATGCCATAATTGAACACTACTCTCTCTCTCTCTCGGGGATTCACATCACTCGCGTTGTTGACAAATTTAAGGGCCTCTGGGTCAACTGCAAAACACAAGCAGCCCACGTGAGACGCTGCTAACAGATTGGCATCGCAGAGCGGCAGGGCGTTTGCCGCTTGTAGCCTCTATCGTTGGACTCAATTTCACAGATTAATTTGCTTCGGCATAGGTTAAAGACTAAATACGACCCACTTAAACCATTCGACAGATTAACCGTGCCACCGCTGTTTCAACTGGGAATGTACGCCTCTCATCTCTCACCACGTCGAACGGGAAATAGCGAATGTAACTCCCCCAAACATTCACGTTGTAGAAAATTATATTTTCCCCTGGTACGTTTCCAGATTACGCCGCGCCGTGTTGGAAATAATGTCCGACGGTTTTTTTTCCCCTCCCAAGTGCTGGGAGCTCACTCAGGAAAGTGGGCAGCTCACGTTCTCTCTCTCTCTCTATCGCTCGATGGTCCAAAACGTGAGCCGCTCTCCGTACAGTTCTCCGGAGAAGCCCTCGGCACTTGGAGCGAAACGGCGGACATCGTGCCGAGCGACACGAAACGGCACAAACCCCCCACACTCTCCAACCCCCCCCCCAAAAAAAAAACTCACTTCAGACAGCCCCAACAGCTCAATGGCGAAAACCAACGGAGCAGTACGAGCAGCAGTAAGAATATTTGTGCTCCATTAATTTTTTTGCTGAATAAAGGAAATTGATTTTTTTCTTCGCTTTCGGGAGGGTGTTTTTTTTGTATTTAACCCAAATTCAGGAAAGGGAAAGAGGATGGGGTGGTGGGGGGGGAGGTTAAAAAGAAGACAAAAAAAACCCAGTTCTGTCGAGATCATCAAATCAGTACTATTAAGTATTTACAAGAAAGGTCGGCAACGGTCCTCTTTGTCCGAACTTAATGTTCCGTACCGGTGGCGTGCGCTGCATCGTAAACTCCGCTGCGGCGCGAGCGCCACAGCCGTTCGCTGCCCCTTCGTTGGCGTCGACACCGCTCGCGTTTTGCAGCCGCGCGTGTCGACGTCGGCGGCCACGGCCAGACTCGCACTGCCCTCTTGTGTACGCGCGTCTCATTCGCCCCCCAAAACGCCTCCTCGACGCGCTGCTGCTGCGTCCACTGCGCTGTGAAGCTTCGCCGTCGCCGTCACACTGGGGCACTTCCCCCATGTGAGTGTCGCCAAATTGTGCACTACGCGAGGGTTCGCCGCGTCGTCGCGTATGCCACGATGCATCGTGCGAAATCAGAAGGCACAGCAAACCAAGATCGAATGATTACCTTTTTGCGCATTTTGCCTTTCAGAAATATTACATTTTAGTTTTAAATATTTTTTTTCCCTTTAATACAATTCAGTCGAAAATGTAAAGTTTAAAATATATAGTTGTTACCCATTAAATTAGTCCTTCACGAAAAGTTTCCCGCAGTAATTGATGGCATGGTGGTCATATGATGGCATCATTGTCGCAGTTCAATTCACCCTGTCACCTTGTGCCGTCAGGTCGAGTACGACCTCTGGTGACATTCACGACCAGACTCCGCCATCCCCACCGCGTGTCTCTCTCGCTGCCTCTTGTAGCTGGGTCAGTGTCAGGCCAGCGGTGTTTTTGATGTTGTCCATCCACCTCGTCCGATGTCGACCTCTATTTCTCGAGCAAGGCCGAATCCTCGAGTCCAGAGGTCCTCACAACGTGTCCAAAGTTGGTCCATTTCCGCTTCACGAATAACTCCTCGAATGGAAGAGTGGGGACCGTTCTCTCTCAGGACGGGCATGTTTGATATTTTGGCTGTCCACGGTATAGGTAGCATCTTTCTCTAACACCACATCTCAGTTCAATTAATTGTATTATAATTTGATGTCTAACTGATGGCATGTGGGTTGTAAGCATTTAAGTAATCTTCATTCGTAAAAAAAGTACAGCAGGGCACAAATATCATTGAACGACATTGCCAAATTTAATTATAAAGTTAAAGGAAAAGTGATCTCGCCACAATCGTCATATCTTGAAAGTTAGTATCGCGTGAGCTCATGAAATGTGAAATTGTGTCAATCCTAGTGAAAAATAAACACACACAATCATGCCACACAATTCACGCAAACATTTAAGCTGTGAAAAATGTATAGCTCAGCGTTTTCCGGCTTCCGCGTGGCACATGTGTCCCAAAAAAAAGGGAAAAACCACAGAACTGATGCACCTGTGGTTGTCTGGGCAGCCAGGGCCACAGCGGGTCTTCGCAATAAATAGAGGGGGACGAGGTTTGTCGGAGTTGGTAGAATAAAAAAACATCGCAATCGTGCACCTCTGAGTGCATTCGCAGTTCCGTTACGCACAACCCACCCCCAAAAAAACGAACAAACGGATACACTTAAAAATGTGCTTTCGTGGATTTTACAACTTTCAGGCGTCTTATCATCTCGCCGCATCTCCAGCTTAAGATGAGCCACTCGGAAGGAAAGGGGGGGAAGACAAAAAAAATCAACGCCCTGGAGTTTATCTGTCGCAAATGTTCCCCGCACGAGAGAAAACGCCCGAACTAGGAATGCCTTGTGTATACAGAATCAGTTCGCTTCCTGACACTTTCTATTCCCCATAGCGTCACCGGCTTTGCTCCGCTCATGACCCGTTAATGCAGGGGTCTGCACGTACAAATGTGCAGTGCTCACGCAAGCCACAAAGACAATGATCTCCCGTATAGCCTTAACAGACTGTTGGGCCAAGTGACTGTTAAGCGAGCATCTATCAAGGCTGACACATGGCACACGTGGGGGGTGGGTGGCCAACACCACACCCGGCCACCTTTGTCTTCCCAGTGTTGATGTTTACACACCGCACCAGGTACTCATTTGCGGCCGAGTCGACCTAGAGGAGGCCCATGACAGGTTCAGATAATCATCACCGGTGTTCGCCGTGAGCAGGAATCGAACTCGGGTCACCGGGTTCGTAGCGCAGCGCGCCAACTGTTGCAATACCGCTCCACACACAGGCACACACACACACGCCTATTGCCATAACGTCACTGAAGCCTCCGGAGGAGTAGAAAATCAACGGTCGCACCAGCCCATTAGGGGCCCTTGAGCAGAAATTATGGTGTGTCACGTGACTACAAACGTTATACGCTGGAAACTTACAGTTGTGTGAAGTAACTAAGGTGATCGGAATTCAAATCACTTTGGGATGTCACGGTAACGAGATGTTAACTACCTCGCCTGTTATGCAGGAGGTCGTGAGTTTCATCCAAAACTTGGCGCCTGCTGTATATTTGGAGTTTGCGTGTTCTCCCCGTGGTGGCGTGGATTGTTATCAGGGTCCCCCTGGTTTTACCTTCCACATTTAGAAACATGCGTTTAGAGTATTTGGGTGCTGTGAATTTCCACATGATGAGTCACTTCGTTGAGCAACCATTTGTGGCCAGGTCGCTTTTGAAAAAAAAGCTATACAGCTCAGTGGGCCTTACCTGGTAAAATAATAAAATCGTTTAGTTGTTAATTTAGTTTGGTTCACCCATATCTTGATCAATCCACTTCTTGATATATATGCATGTATGTTGAATTTCTTTCGCACCGTACGTAGCCAACCGTAATAATAGTAGGAGGTGCGTGTTCCAAAGTCTGAAGGTTTGCCTAGAAATCGATTGTAACACTCTCATGAAGGCTGCCCCCCCCTCCCCCAAGCCATCGCCATCTCTTGCGGCCCTGCGATGTAACGATCAGCACTGGAACCTTCACGCGGGCTCATCTCAGCGCTCCATCTCCGTTGTGGACGTCTTTCGGGTTCATTCCCACCCTTGACCGCCACTCTAATCATCCCGTCCGAGGGACGCATCTTTTATGCTTTTTTGACCACGCGTTGTACGTGACAAGTACAGCATCTCAAATATATTCTAACCACTGACGACAATATATTTTAACAGTGGTTTCAAGCCAACAGTGGCTTAAACCCACAATGTTTATGACCGACATCACTTGAGCCTGCGTTGTGCTTGGAAGGGCGACCTCCAGGTTCATGTCCAGGTGCTGTTGGCGTCGAGAGCAGCCAAGGGCAGTGCAGAAAAATCTGTTCCTACTCTGCATCCTTCCACCCCCCCCCCCTTCGCCAACCCGCACTGAGTAGTGCGGTGAAGTATGGCCTCATGACCACCGCCGACCGCACGGTATGAGAAAGAGCTTATCCAGCATTGGATTGACAAATTAGCCGTACGTTTTTTTTTTTTACAATGCTTTTGTTTGATGCTGAAGACATTTCATTTGCTCTTTTGTGGTTGTGGGTGGGCTGCTTCTGACATTAAGTGCTCACATTTTTTAAAAAAAGTTAACCCTCATAACAAAACAACAACAAAAAATCCTAGTCTATAATTTGCACCGGGAAGCTACGCCTGCTGAGATAATGAATGAAGTTCCACTTTGACGGCTGTAACTAAGCATTCGCTAAACCGATAATGCGCGCTGCAAAATTACGTGAATTACATTTTGAAAGGGAGCGTAAGAAGCTTCAAGAATTAGAAAACGCTTCCTAAACATTTGCCGAGCCGAATGCCAGCGCAGCTTGCTTGTTGTTCCTTTTGGCCGCTTCAGTGGCATTTCATGAATTCAGACAAACAACCCGTAGTCGCGCAAAATGTTTTGCCCGACAGTGAATCGCTGGCCGGTTGAAATTCTCATGCGCATCTAGGTTCCAATCAGTTCTGAAACACCACGGGGAGAGAGCCCACGTGTTTGTCAATGCCATCGCAGCGCGTTGGCCTTGACTCAATAAATTTGATGACTCACACAGGGCCTAAAATCCTGGCATGCCCGGAGTTAACTGCGGCAGTTATACGACTGTCTAGAAACTAGAGATACGGGGGGAAATGGCTTACAGAAACCCGGCAATTAAAATATCTGCTGCTTGAACCGATAGGGGATGGCTTGGACTACGTTCTTAAGTTACACTGTTTCGAAACGTACGCTTGCAACAGTTATAGGTAAAGGTGCAGATCCTGCAATTAGCTTGCTTGTACAGATGTTGGCGGAAGGGCTTCCACGAGAGGGAACTCTGAACGACCCCCTCTTGGCCTACTCTTCCGCACTGGTCAGATGTCTAGAAAGAGGTGGGAGCACCCGCACGTTATCCATCCGCATGCGACCTGCCGATCGACTGTGGTGGTACCCTTTTACACTGCATGTACGCATGCTGAACTTCTTTCGCACCGTACGTAGCCAGCCGTGCTAACTGGCAGGTGGACAGAGGCGGCCGACTGGGGTGGACTGAAGAAACTTCCACCGCCGTTTTCAACCGTTGCGCCGGGAGGTCAAACTGAACCGGTGACCTCTGGACGGCAGGGCCAGAGTGCGAAAGCCGTTACAACGCGGCAGAATCCGCGCGCCAAATGCTGTTGCTAAACGCAAAAAATGAAAACCCCCGCACAAAGGAGCAGCTTACCAGCGATTGCTCATCTTCCATCGACTGCGGCCAAGACACAGCCAGCCTCCTCGCTCTGTTAAGAACACAGGCACGTACCACACGCACGCCGTAAAGAATTTTTACGACTCACGCTACGATGCAGCCGCAGTACGTGGAGGCTTAATGATCATCAGTGCCGGTGCCAATCTATTTGGGGGGGGGGGGATCCTAAGCAAAAATTATAATTGGGTGCGTCACATGACTACAAACATTCTATGATGGGCAAGCCACATTAATGAATTAATGATATCGCAGTCGTGCTAAACAAATTAATTCATTAGACTAAGTACAATTAAAATGCTAATACTGTTATAAGTACAATGAGCTTTTTAATGTCATACGTATATGAGCTTGAGCTGATATATTGGTGCTGCCCTACATTTATTTACTTACTTTAATTAACCCAGGGCTCCCCGAGCCTCGTTTGCTTGTGTCGAGCACAATCAAATGACAATAATGATAATGACAGCCCATGTCAGTCCGCTGCTGGGATGAAGGCCTCCCCACGCTCCGTAGGTCACAGGGGTTTTTTGACCATACTTCACCACACTGGTCAGTGCGGGCGTTGGTGAAGCGTGGAAAGGGGGGGGGGGTTAGTGTGCCAGGACAGAAGCAGATATCACTCGCCACTGATTTAAGCCGTAGCCGGGTATCCAACTCGGAGGGCCGGGATTGTAGAGTGGTCAACCAACCACCGCCCCACCGCTCTACCCACGAATAATGACCCTGCTCACTGCCAACACCAGTGACGATTACTCTATGTGAACCAGTTCTGGGCTTCCCGCAGGTAGACTCAGCCTCAAATGAGTACCTGGTGCGGTGTGTAAACATCGCCACTGGGGGGACAAAGGCGGCCGGGCGTGGTGCCGGCCACCCACCCGCTCGTGTGCCGTGCGGGCCTACATAGGTGCAACTCGCAAACAGCACTTGCCCCGACAGTCTGCTAAGGCTATACGGGGGATCTTTGTTTTGCCCTCAACGATGGCCGTTTCCGCACCTCGACTGCGACGCGAGCTCCATCTCGTCGCCGGCGCGGAGAGATTCGTCGATCTTGTCTCGACTCATCCTGATGGGAAAGAGAAGCTCCTTAGCAAATTCGAGTAACGTATCGCTACATCAAATAATGTTAATCAAGTCAAAGGCTTCGGTTTACAATAAACACCCGGAGACTTTTAATCCGTTTTAAAAGTTGGAGAAACTTTTTTTTTTACGCCCGGCGTATCAAATGCAATCGTTTAAAACACACACACACACACAGCCTATCTTCTTCAAACATGGCAAATATTGAACACTAAGTTTATGTTTGAAGAGCAACTTATATATTTTTATATATATCAGCTCCGTTACAAGTTCTCCGTTGCTTTTGAGGCAGGCTAGGAAGCTCCTGATTGCTCCCACGAGTTACTTTCATAATAATCATGAATTAATATATAATACTAATATGTAATGATTAACCATTTATTGTAGTTAATCATTTATAACACTCAGCATCGTGAGCCATGGTCAACCCCCCCCCCCCCCCCCCCCCCCTGCTGGACTAAGGACTCCGCAAGCCGCTGTCATCTCTCACGATGTCACGACGATGTCACGATCCCGCGATACAACAAAGATCCCCCGTATAGCCTTCAATACATTGTTGGGGCAAGTGCTCTTCGCGAGTAGCACCGACTGAAGCCCAAGGCACACAACACGCCCAGCCGCCTTTGTCTCCCCAGTGTGAATGTTTACCAGGTACTCGTTTGAGGCTGAGTCGACCTCGGCGAGGCCCAGGACCGGTTCAGATAATCGTCACTGGTGTTGGCCTTGAGCGGGAATCGAACGCGGGTCGCCGGATTTGTAGCGCCAGTGCGCTAACCGCTGCACCACCACTCTCTACTAACGAAGCAAAGACCCGCGTAGCACCTGCACGCGAGTTAATTTCATCGCTCCATCTCTCCTTGAGGTTATCCTCTTAGCTTTCTTTTTATTTATTTTTTACCACGTAAGGCCCCACTGAGCTATATATATACTACAGCTCGGGATTTATACTGAGATGGAGAAAGAGGAACGCGTGGATTAGAGAACGTGCGCAGGTTAGAGACGTAAAAGTTGATTGGTAAGAAAAAGTCAGTGAGGTTGATTGGGCAGGGCACTTCGCTCGAAGGGCTGATGGCCAATGGTCAAGGCTAAACTAAACTCTAAGCTATTTTATATCTCACCACGCAAGGTCCACTGAGCTGCGTAACTCTTTTTTTTTCCAGAAGCGACCTGGCCACAAATGATAGCTCAACGCTCGTGGCTTATTATCGCGTGGAAAATGACGGCAGCCAAATATTTTTGTTCTTGCTGTAGTTTTTCACACCTGATGATGATTGCTCGTGTTGCAATCGAAACGTCGTGAGAATGTTATTGTTTTATTTTTTATTATTTTATTGTTTCCTTTCTACGTGACCACCGAAAGAAACAAGAATAAGCAGCCAAATACTCTAAAAATGTATATCAGCCAAAATGAGTGCAGAGTAAGGGTGCAATTGATAATTTCCTTCCGTGATCCATTTTTTTAAATGTATTCCTTGATAACATAATCGATTCTGGTTTCATGCTTTACGCTGCGATGAACGAATGTTAGCGCCTCGAGTGGCTGCGTGGAGGCGATTTGAACCGATTTCCACACGCGACGTACAAATCTAAAACCCCATTGATTCACACGTGTGCGATCGGATTCACAATAGCGTAAGCTGATGAACTTGATATCAGTTGAGGCGCATTGTCCTTCGTGGCCGTAATGTGCAGCATCAGTTTAAAAAAAAAAAAGAATCACGTTCATTTTTTTAGCCACTTGAAAATAGAAAGCCAGCCTATCGAAGCCCGGACAGCTTTACGGCCGTCATTGTGAAGCCGTTTGACAGCTTGCGAGTTGTCTGCGGCTCAGCTTGGCTTAACATGTTATCAGACGCAGATGTTTTAAAAGATTATCTCTTTAAGGCGCGTTTGCGCGGATGACCAAACGTAATTACGGCGCTCAAGACGAAGCTTCACCAAAGACACACTCGACGATATTTCCTGGAACTCGAACGGACAAAAATTCACACAAATCTGAGAAAGCATGCATCGTCTCACGAATCATGTCGACTGTGGCGGACTGCTGTAAAGTCACGTGACATCATTGCAACACATCTGAGACATTTTCTTGACTCTTAAAATCGCATTAAACTAACCCCCCGCCCCCCCCCCCCCCCCAAAATAAAATAAACGGACTCTTCCTTTTGCCGTTCATGAAATGTACTCGCAACACGTGCACACGAGAGTTAAACGGCAGCGCTAGGCGCCTTGGTTATGTTCCCAAACATGCAACACACATGTTAAACCCCGGCTACGATTTCAAGACATGTCATCAGAGCCCCCCCCCCCCCCACCTTCTACACATCTGTGCCAAATCAACGCTCCCTGACCATGACATTCCTCTTTTGAAATAACCCATCCCTTCCTTCCGCACTTCCTCCCAGCTACTCCCTCTACGCTTGCCGATAATTCGGGTCCTGCCTCGTGCAATTAAAACATCTAAATAAAAGCCACATTGGCGTCCCGCGCGCCGACAGGAATGTCAACAGCTGGCTCGAGGCGCACCCCGGGTTCACACGCGCGCCGTTCCGACGTTTTCGCTCTCCGGCACGCGGGGCGAAACGTCGGACATCGTGCCGGACGGCACGCGGTGATGACGCCCCGGAGCAACGCCGATCCGCGCGCGGCCTCACGCCCTGCGTTCGAGAGACGAGATCGGACCGAAAACGAACGTTCCATCAGCCACGCGTTGCTCATCCCAGTCTACATTGGCTCCTGACGGCCTTTGAAGGCAGCATTTCCTGCCTTGTAAAACTCTGTCGGCGGTGTTTAATGTCACGCCTTGAGCTAATCATGGTGGGGGGTGGGGGTTTACTGAATTGGATGGCTCCAAGTGAACACGAGATGAATCCTTGCTTGCTATTAGTACCAAACACTGTACACCAGGGTTCTTCACTCATTTTCAGAGGAGGGGGGCGGGAGGCGCACTTGCCCCAATAAGAGCCACACCACACATTTGAAACCATCGGGGGTTTGACAGCAGCACGATGACGATGATGGGGTTGGTTGGGGGGGGTATCACACGGCGTGAATTGTCGAGGGCCGCACGTCATGGGCAGCACTAAAGGCCACCAGGGGCCGCTAGTGGCCCACCGGGCCTTGCAATGAACACTGCAGGACACAGTGGTTAGCAGCACTCTGCGCTCTGAACCCGTTGTTGATCTGACTTCCGATTGCCGGCCATGACCCACGTTAGCGGGCAAGCGATATTCCAATTGGTCCTGGGCAGCTCATGCACAGACGCGCACTGACCACCCTGGTGAAGTATGGGCTCACAACCCCAATGCCCGACATGGCATCGAGAGGCTCCCTTCATCCGGCAGTGGAGTGAGACCACGGGCTGTGAGTTCATGCAAGCGAATAAACAGCGCGGGAAGACGTTGCATATCCGGGCGTCACAGATCTGCCCTCTGCAATTAGCCGTCCACACCCAGCGCATCGTTTGCACGTAACGTAAATGTCATTTTCTACAGAAGTACACAAATAGTCTCCGTAACACCGGTTGAGACTAGGGTCGAAAGAAAGCTGTCTCTGGTGTGGACCAAACAGTTTCAAAGGCAATGCATCATATTATCAGAGTTTGTTTTCGTCCGCATTCCGACCACAAGTATTGTGGTTAATGCAGACATGATTCCTTGTAAAAGGTTTCAGTTTGGTATTTTAACATCTTAACACGGCTGTTTTGATGGCAGAAAAAAGGGGAAAACCTCTTCTCATATTTTGGTACTGGCAAAGGAGGTCCCATGATACACAAATAAAGCGTGGTCTTTTCACACACACGGCAAATGTATTGCTTAAACATCGCACACATTCGCTTACTTGGAGGCACGCGATGTTATTTTCCTGTGGTCCGGGTCGATGTTTACCTGCACTGTGAGTGTAATTATTGCCACTGGCTTTTGTCGTCGTTTGTATGCATTCTATCGATATTACAATCATAGTTCCCATTGTTTTTATCGGCTTTTACTGTATTTATATTCGATTGTATCTATACTTGTGAGTGCAGTTTTTTATTATTTAATGTTGTTTTATGTACGGAGCTTTTACGTATTTCGATATGAAAGGCGCTTTATAAAATCTAGATCATTATATGATTTGCTATCTTTAAAAAAAGCCCTGATGCTGCAACGTATTTACACTTATACCAAGGGACGCGAGTTCTGTGTGAGAATCTACGTATGCATGCTGAGCTTCTTTCGCACCGTTCTGTAGCCCACCGTGCCAATCGGAGTTGGAGCGAGCGTCGACTTTCATGGGAATGTGCTCATTGCATAACTGACACTTGTCAGTTATATTTCTTTTTCAAACGCTGCCAATCGGCAGATGACAGGCGAAGACCAAAAATCGTCGTTTTCCACTTGGAGCCTCTTAATCTCAGTGATGAATGTACTGCGTCTGTCAAAAAAATAAAAAAAAATAAACTCCCCACAGCTCCGCACGGGGACCTCATATAACCTGCTCACTCAGCCTCGGACACTCGTTGCAAACAAAAACAGAACATTTCAGCTTGAACATTTTCATTTTATTTCCTAATGTCTGTACAAAGCCCTGAGATCTAAATGTCAAGCGTGCTTATCAGTGGGCGGCAGGCATGGCTTGCCATAACTAAATTTACGCTCGGATTATGCGTTACATAACTCACGTACGAGATGGCATCGAAGAGAGATATAGTGGCTCGTAAATAGTGCGCGTGCGCGCGTGTGTGTGTGTGTTTCACATTGCCCACTGTTAAACTTACTATCGGTTGGTTTCGCCTATCGAAATTTACAACGGCTCGTTACAAACCCGCAAATTTCCTCCTCGCGACTTTGCGAAGCCGGCGGTCGCCGTGAGTCGCGCGGGCGACGCGCGAGCAACGGAACGCACAATCGCCCGCTCCGAAACGAACTCCGCGCTTGAACCCAGAGCGGCGGCCACCGCGCTCCTCTTGTCACAAATTGCACCGCCGCTCGCATTAACCGGGGCAAAAAACGTGAACGCCGTCCCCCACCACCTCCAGCAGGCTGGACGCAAAACGCCGTCGTCGTTCCATCGCTCGCGAACGCGTCGGCGCACGACGTAATTAAATCGCTTGAACTCCCTCACCCCGGGTTCCCATCCCATCGTTGGAACGCTACCGAGGAACCGCTGAATGTGCACCAGCCGTGTGTAATGTTGAACTTCTTTCGCGCCCGTAACGCAGCAAATCGTACTAATCGGAGGTGCCGGGGGAATGACGACAAACTAAAAATGCAAAAAGCAGTTCTAAAGAAATTAGTTTGCCAATCTAGATGATGATTTAAAAGCACATAGCTCCCAGCGGCTTCCTAATATCGGAAGCAAGAGCATTCCAGACGGCCGCGGATGCGCGTCTCGAAAGCGCCGCGCGATGCGGTGACCACCGTCCGTGTTCCACGGCGA